GGAGGGGCCCTACAGAGGAGTCCCTGGGTTATCTTTAACGTTTTATTAAAATGCCACAGACAAAATCCAGCAGAGCTCCCAAAGGTACGAACTCAGCAACCGTTGGTAAACCCAAAACACCTGTGTCGGCAGCACCCGGCCCGAGAAACGGTGGCTTCATCCCACCACCATTTGAAGGTCCTAAAAGCAAAGCCTGAGGTTTCACCGAGAAAAAGGAATTCAGCGTCAACCCTGCAGCACAGAAACCTTGCCTGGTTTCCGGCTGCCTGGCCTGCCCTGCAGACTTCACAGTCAAGACTACTCTTATCAACAGCCTCCTGTCTGGCCCCATAGATTTCAGCCTGCCAGGCCCCACGATCACGTGAGCCAACTCCTTAAAATGTATTTAGAGCCCTAGCGAGTTTGACTCAATCGATAGAGCATCGGCCTGCGGACAGAAGGGTCCCGGGTTCGATTCCGGTCAAAGGCACATGCCTGGGTGACAGGTTTGATCCCCAGTAGGGGCGTGCAGAGGCAGCTGAGCCATGATTCTCTCTCATGGTTGATGTTTCTATCTCTCCGTCCCTCCCCCTTCCCCAATACATCAAGAATCACGGATAGTACACAAGTTACGTAGTGTTCCGAGGGCTGTGCCTCCTTAATCTTCAGAATGCCCCCGAGAAAGCTCTCTTATTGTTCCTGTTTTTACCGAGAGGAAACTGGGCCGTCTGAGTCCAGAGTCCGTGTTCCTAACCTCTGCACCGTGCTGGCAGGTTCTGTCTGCAGCGCGGGGAGGTCAGTGTCGCTGGGGCAGAGGGAGTGAGGGGACAGTGGCATGAGGTGGGGTCAGTTGGGGGCGTGGGGAGCCACTGGAAGGTTTTCAGGCAGATCTGTGGCAGCATCTGACTTGAATATCCAAAGAGTCCCTCTGGCTCTGGCGTGGCAGAGTCGGGACCGTTGGGGGCCAGTGCATGGCTGAGCATGGGCCTGGGAGATGAGGACGATGCTGGATGCTGTGTGGAGGTGGAATCGGTGGCGGCAGCAGCGGGATAAGGGGGTTCATGAAGGCGAGAGGAGATCCAGGAGATGGGTTCTGAGGTTGCTGGCTGAATCCAGAATATTCTGGACCTGTGGCTCCGTGCTGTCCTTCTGCCTAAGTGGCCAGGTGTCCCCTCAGCTGGGGCCCGTGGACGCCGTGGGAGCCAGCACCCGTGTCTTGTATTGCTGCTCCTTGCAGGGAGCTCAGGAATGTTCGCGGAGTGACTGAGTGGGAATCCTAAGCCCTGCCTTCCCTCTGCCTCAGTTAGCCCATCTGGAACAGAGACTACTCATTCGTTTCCCTGCTTCCCAGCCCCTCCCCTGGGGGTCCAGTCTCCCCGGAAGGCCGGTGCCCATCTGGGCCAGGCGTTAGCATCGTCTGTGAGCAGGCCCTGGTTCCCCGGACCCGTCTCCAGCCTGAAACCGCCAATTACCTGCAGGAGCGCCTTCCTCTGGCACCGCAGGCCCGACCCTCTCTTAATGACACCTTGCCCGCCTGCCCTCCCTGCTGGATAGGAGGGGAGGGGGCCGGCCGGCCTGAGCTGTGGTTTCTTTTTCCATTGCGTCAGGCCTCAGGGGCCGCCCGGCCGCCCGCCCACCGCCGGGCTGGCACAGAGGGGCCCACTGTGGCCAGGCTCGCCCCAACTCTAGACAGGATGTGCTCCCCGTTTCGGGGATCCAGAGGCTTCCTGCCAGAGGGTGAGTTGGGGCTGGGGGACCTGCCCCCAGCTGGGGGAGGAGTGCCCTTCCCCGCCCACCCATCCCACCCATCGCTCACTGGCTCAGCTCACCCGCTCACTCTGGGGACCGGGAGCTGATCCAGGGCGGGGCAGTGGCTCGGGGAGCTCAGTGGAGTCTTCCTCCTGCCCTCCTGCCCCTGCCCCTGCCCTGAGCCAGGCCCAGCCAATGAGGGGCAGGAGGGCAGGCGAGTGATGATGGTGACTTGGACCAGGGAGAGCGGGGGCATGGGTGGAGGGGACGCGGGGAGTGGGGAGAAGTGGCCCCAGAGCATCATACAACAGCACGCCTTTCTTTGCGTGTGCTCTTTGGGGACATGTGTGTGTGTGCCTATGTGACCATACACACGTGTGTACGTGCGCAAGGAAGTGCATGGACCTGAGTGTGTGTCCCTGGGACCCCTCAGGGTAGAAACAGGCATGCCACCGTCCCATTTGGCAGCAGGGGGGACGGTGGCATGCCGGGAAGGGGGCCTGTGAGGTGGGGAGCAGGGGGGGAGCTGGAATGCACCCCATCAGTGATGATGGGAGAAGCAGGGGTGCAGACAGGGTGGCCCGAGAGAAACTGCTGACCTTGTGCACTCTCAGGCCCTTTGGCCTGGCTGAGTCCCCATCTGACCCCAGCTGGGTCCTAGTGCCCCCACCCCAGCAGAAAGCCCAGCATTGGCCTGGGAGTCCGGAGACCCTGCCCACATCCTGCCTCTGCTGTGTCCTGGCCCTGCCACCTCCCGCAGGTGACTTGCGCGTGCTCTCTCGCGGCCTCAGTTTCCTCATCTGTAAAATGGGTCACTGCCATGCCCCACCCCGCCTCCGGCATAAGCAGGCGTTCTCTCAGCCACAAGGCAAGATGTCCCTTTTGGACACGGCTGTCCCCGCCCTCCCGGGGTCCTGCTCCCCCCTCTCCCCCTGGGCACGGTGCGCCCAGCAGCTGGCAGTGAAAGGGAGTGCGGCTCAAAGCCCCTCCATGGAAACTAATTTTTACACGACGAGAATAAATGCTGCTGGCAAATTGCTGCCCTGCCCGGGGCTCCTGTGACACGATAATGAGGTTCTGGGGACAGAGTGGGAGAGGAGGGGAGGGCATGAGCACTGGGCTTTGTCACCATCCAGATGCTCTCATGCGGGCAGGCCTGGAGGCGCTGCCTGGAGCGGGCCAGGGGCCTGGCGCCTGCCCCACCCTCACCAGAAGGCTCCAGAAGGACTGGCACTCAGAGAGTGGCTGTGGCCAGGGCCGGAGGGCGGGGGAGGGCTCTGTCCTCCCTGCCTGGATGCCAGCCTCCCCACTGCCTCTGTTTAGCCTGACAGCCCGCTCTCCCCTCAGGGGCCAGAGGAAGCTTTTAAAAACAGAAATCAGATCATGTCACCTGTCTGCTTAAACCCTGCCAGAGGCTCTGAGGACAGCCCCAGCTCCCTGCAGGGACTTCAGCCGGAAAGCTGGCTACTGTACCCACTCTCTGGGAGCACGAGGGCCGAGCCTGAGCCTGCCAGTCTTCCCGGTGCAGGGCCCCAGCCCAGGCACAGTGCGTGGTCCGAGCAGGTGCTCAGCAATCACTCTGGCGGGAATGAATGGGCCTCAGTGTCCTCCTCTGGAAAATGGGGCCATAGGAGAAGGATCAGAGCACATGGGAAGTGGGATTCGCTGTCCCGCAGGGAGCACCCTCCTCTCGCCTGCCTCTCGGGGCGGTGCAGGCCAGTGTCCTCCCCAACATGAGGGGCCAAGATAGCAGTCCCGGAGCTGGAAGCTGGTCTCTGTCGCTGAGAGTTTGGGGCCGGACGCGTCCACACGGTGAGGGGCCCGTGTTCGCTAAACACGTGCCAGAGGAGATAGCATCTGGTCACAGGATCCTCCAGGACCGTGTCCCTGCGGTCTCACGGGCAGGTGAGGACGGAGGCACAGAGAGCCAGCGGGCTTGCCCCTGGGGCCTGTGCCCTGTGGGACCCAGAGCTCCCGCCGTCCCCCCCCCCCCCCCCCCGAGGCGGGCTTCTCTGCTCCTGCTCCAAATGAGCACCTTGCACTCAGAGAGGAACAGAGCGGCTCACAGTGAGCAGTGCCAGTAATTAGCCTGGACGGTGGGAGGGGTACGCACGGCCCAGTGCATGGCGTCTTGGGAAGCTGTGTACAATGAAAGGATAAACTCTAGGTTGCCGATAAGGACCAGCTCATGGAAGGTCGGAGTGAGGTGGAGGGTTTATTTGTTCATGATTTAGTCACTCACACTTTAAAAAAAAAATTTTTTTTTTTTCATTTTCCCTAGCTGGTTTGGCTCAGTGGATAGAGCATCAGCCTGTGGAGTGAAGGGTCTTGGGTTCAATTCTGGTCAAGGGCACATGCTCGTGTTTCGGGCTTGATCCCCAGTTGGAGGCATGCAGGAGGTAGTTGATCAGTGGTTCTCTCTCATCATTGATATTTCTCTCTCTCCCTTCCTCTCTGAAATCAATAAAAAAATATTTTTAAAAATTATATTGATATTCAGAGAGGAAGGGAGAAGGGAGGGATGGGGGAGAGAGAGAAACATCAATGCGAGAGGAAACATTGATTGGCTGCCTCCTGCACACCCCCTACAGGGGATCGAACCCACAACCTGGGCATATGCTCTGACCAGGAATGGAACTGTGACCTTTTGCTGCACAAGATGATGCCTAACCAAGTGAGCCACACCGCCCGGGGCACATTCGTGCTTTATTATTATTATTGTTATTATTATTCAAATATATACTGGGAGCATCCTATGCGCCAGTCACATGGTTAGGCCAGGGATACAGACTGAACAAGATAGACAACGAACAAGGTCAAGTTTTGCTGAGTTGCCGGAAGTGAGCTTCCTAGAGGCCAAAGCAATGAGGGAACCTGGAGTAATGACAAGCTCCACATTCGCCCCAAGATGCCAGGTGTTAATGCCTCAGAGAAGCCCGGGTGTCCGTGCCCATGGGATTTGTTGCTGACCCAGCTGGGGCAGCTTGGACCTGTGTGTATCTCAAAGGCAAAGACTGACCAGAGCAGAGAATAACTCCAAAGACACACGGACCACATTGACGGGAGTCCCTCGTTTCCTGCGTTCTCCTTTCTCCAGTCTTTTGTCCACGTATACGCCCTTCCCACACACACCTTTCCTCGCATCTCTCTGCCCACATCCTCTGTCTCTCTGCCCAGGCGGTGTGGTGGATGTCGGGTCTCTCTCTCTCTGACCCCCCACTCCTCTCCCCGCAGACTGCCAGGAACTGTTGCCGCCACCGCCGCCACCCCCCATGGCCCACATCCAGGGTCCGGGCGCCCCAGCCGCAGGGGCCGCCCCCGTGGGCTCCCAGTACTGCGTGTGCAAGGTGGAGCTGTCTGTGAGCGGCCAGAACCTGCTGGACCGGGATGTCACCTCCAAGTCCGACCCCTTCTGCGTCCTCTTCATGGAGAGCAACGGCCGGTGGATGGAGGTGAGCCCTCCATGCGCGTCTGTGCTGGGTGGGGGTGGCTGGGTGTCTGGGGAAGGGCTCCTACTGGGTCCTGGGGCCTCCCGGTCAGGCCCTTGGAGGTCATTGGAGTGCGGGCTGGGGCCTCTTAGAAAATTGTTACTCTTTAAAAAAAAAAAAAAAAAAAAAAAAAAAAAAAAATATATATATATATATATATATATATATATATATATATATATATTTATTTTATTGATTTTTTACAGAGAGGAAGGGAGAGGGACAGAGAGTTAGAAACATCAATGAGAGAGAAACATCAATCAGCTGCCTCCTGCACGCCTCCCACTGGGGATGTGCCCACAACCAAGGCACATGGCCTACCTTGATGAGCCCAGAGCTGGGGATGTCGATGGGGCCACAGCCAGGCGCTTCGGAACTGGAAAACTCGGACCTGAGAACTGGGGAGCGAGCGATGCAGGGGGAGGAAGGGCATTGAGAAATCCAAATCGTTAAGGCTTCCCAGTCTTAAACATTGCTTTGTTCCTATTCCCTACAGGGTCTGTGTTCATTGTAGTAAATTTAGAAAAGCCAGATGGACCGGAAGAAGGAAGTCAGGATAGTGGGGAGCCGGCCTGTGAGGGAGTCTCTGCTAAAAGTTGGGTACCCAGCCCTAGCTTGTTTGGCTCAGTGGCTCGAGTGTCAGCCTGAGGACGGAAGGGTTACGGGTTCGACTTCCAGTCAAGGGCATATACCTCCATTGCAGGCTGGATCCCTGGGCCATGCGGGAGGCAACCAATGGATGTGTTTCTCACATCGATGTTTCTCTCTCTCTCTCTCTGTCTCTCTTTCTCTCTGTCTCTCCCCCTCCCTTCCACTGTCTCTAAGAATCAATGGAAAAAATACCCTCTAAAGGGATTAAAAGCAAACCAAAAGAGTTGGATACCCCGCCTTCCAGAGAGTTTTATATGAGCGTAGATTTTCCAAAATATGTGTCTGTTTGTCCGCATAGTCAGCCAGGCCACAGAGCACATCCCACTGGACACCCTGTGGTTCACAAAGACTCTCCACAGAAGTCGGGTCCTTACAAAGCCAAGGAATTGGTGCTGAGGCTGTGGACCCATTTTACAGAGGGGCAACCGGGGCCCCGAGCCGGTGGGCACTTCTCTGTGTCCCCCCCGTGCTTTAGAGATGGAGCCAGAATTGGGAGGCGGGACGTGGTGTCAGTTGAGGACCCCTGGAGGGGGGTGGGTAGCTCCAGGCATGAGGCCAGCCCGTCTGGAGCCCCCTGTCCCCTCTGCCAGGTCCCTAGAACCCGTGCCTGCCCTTCCAGGAACAGTGCCCCCCAACTTCCTTGACTATCCCTCTCCACCCGGGCCGGCCACCCTGGCTAAAAATAGCCCAAGATCAAGACCTCTGCCTGCTTCGGCCCTTGGACATGGACTGGGTGGGAGGGAAAAATCAACAGGCCCAGGCCCCAAAATAGACGGTCACCCGGACTCTGCGGTTTGGGGCCTCCGTGTGGAGTGGCCAGAGGGCAGGGCTCCTGTCCCAGCCCCACCGCTGACCCACAATACAGACCCTGTCCTCACCCGGGCCTGGCTTTCCCAGTGGGTGGGACCCTGGGGCTGCACAATTCCAGTATTGACATTCCAGGATTCCGTATAAGGCACAAACATCTGCCCTCCCCCTAAAGATCCCTCCTTCCTGTTGCCTCTCTCAGCTTCCATGTAACATGGGGCTTGAAAAAAAGGATCCTCCCAGCCAAAACCGGTTTGGCTCAGTGGATAGAGCATTAGCCTGCGAACGAAAGGTCCCGGGTTCGATTCCGGTCAAGGGCATGTACCTGGGTTGCGGGCACTTCCCCAGTAGGGGTGTGTGCAGGAGGCAGCTGATCGATGATTCTCTCTCATCGATGTTTCTAACTCTCTATTGCTCTCTGTAAAAAATCAATAAAATATATTTAAAAAAAGAAAGAAAAAGGATCCTCCCAAAACTAAAAGAATGAAAACCACAGAGAGTCCAACCCTTCACTCTACAGAAGTGGAAACTGAGGCACAGATGAGGAAAGGGACTCGCCTTCTGTCACTCCTCTAGGCAGGACAGGGCCCTGGCTCGTATCCTGTCATCCTGGGTATGGAGGCAGGCCCAGAGAGTTCAGAGTGTGGGTGCTGGAGTCAGACCCAGGTTAAGATCCTGGCCCCGTGCCCCTCTAAGCTGTTCCCCCTTGGGAAAGTCACTTAACCTCTCTGTGCTTCAGTGGCCTCCTCTGGGAGCTGAGGGCAGCGCTCGCCGCGGCCATCCAGGTCACTGGCCGAGTGCCCGGCACAGAGCTGGTGTTCCGCCAGTTGGTAGAGTGATTCCCAGCAGCCCCCCGCCTGCCCCTCCCCTCCCCCCGCAGAGGGTTGACCTCTGACCTCCGTTCCCCCTGCCTCTCTGCCAGTACGACAGGACAGAGACCGCCATCAACAACCTCAACCCAGCCTTCTCCAAAAAGTTCGTCCTGGACTACCACTTTGAGGAAGTGCAGAAGCTCAAGTTCGCCCTGTTCGACCAGGACAAGTCCAGCACACAGCTGGACGAGCACGACTTCCTGGGCCAGTTCTCCTGCAACCTGGGCGTGGTGAGCGGTGCCCCCTGGTGGGGTGGGCAGCACCTACCCTCCTGGTCACCCTGCTCCCACGGACAGGGCAGCCCCTGCGACAGCGTCTCTCCTGCGGCCGGCGTGCCCTGGCCCCGTGTATCTGTCTGGCTCCGGAGGTGGCATCACAAATACAGATTGCCTGAGGGGTCAGCGGGCAGGAAAAAGGGGGGTGGGGCGCAGTAGCCTGGTAGGTTTGGGGCCAGGTGATGGGCTCTCATTGGATGACACTGAGCACAGTGCCAGCCAAATGTTGTCACACAGGAAAGGAGGCCCCACGTGGCCAGAGCTACTGATTGTTAGAAGCCATCAAGTGTGGTCTTTTTAAAAATATATATTTTACTAGAGGCCCGGTGCACAAATTCATGCATGGCTGGGGTCTGGCCAGTTTGCACGGATAGGGGCCAATCAGGGCCAGGCCTGTGGGTGGGGGAGAGGATGTGGGTGCTTGGTGGCTGGCCTTGTCCCCAATCGAGGTGTTGGGGGCTGATTCAGGGCCTGGGTGGAGGGGCCATTCAGGGCCTGGATCAGGCTGGTTGGCTGCCGCAGTGCAGTCATAGGCACTGGTCATTCTGGTCATTCTGCCTTTCTGGTTGCTGGGCTTTTATATATATAGATTGATTTTTTTTTTACAGAGAGGAAGGGAGAGGGAGAGAGAGCTAGAAACATCAACAAAAGAGAGAGAAACATCAGTCAGCTGCCTCCTGCACACCCCCTAACTGGGGATGTGCCCGCAACCAAGGTACATGCCCCCGACCGGAATCGAACCTGGGACCCCTCAGTCCACAGGCAGACGCTCTATCCACTGAGCCAAACCAGTTAGGGCTCAAGTGTGGTCCTGACTTTGAGGTAGGAGGACCTGACCAGAAACCAAGACACCCAGGGACGTCCTACTTTGTGACGGGCTTACTGTGTGACCTTGAGCAACTTCCTTTCCCTCTCTGGGCCACACTTCCCCATCCAGCTCAGTCCGTGGTGAACGTGTGGAGGGTGGGAGTTTGCAGGACTAGGAACCTCTGACACAATCATTCTTTATGGCCATGCACCCTTAGACCAGCCCCAGCCCCTTCTGGGCCTCCATGGTCCCCATATTTCACTTGGGGGTAATGTTGACTGCCCAGCCGATAGAGATGGTGAGGGAATAAAATTAAAATCCCTTTGAGAGGTCCTCGTGGAGACTGAAATGCCCCGGGCCTGCAAGAGATGATGCTCAATGAAAAAGCAAGCTGAAACCGGTTTGGCTCAGTGGATAGAGTGTTGGCCTGTGGACTGAAGGGTCCCGGGTTCGATTCCGGTCAAGGGCATGTACATTGGTTGCGGGCACATTCCTGGTGGGGGGTGTGCAGGAGGCAGCTGATTGATGTGTCTCTCTCATCGATGTTTCTGGCTCTCTAACCCTCTCCTTCCCTCTCTGTGAAAAATCAATAAAAATATATTTTTAAAAAAAAAAGAAAAAGAAAAAGAGCAAGGGTCCCACAGTTATGTAAGAAGCGGGGTGCCTCCATCAGGGCTCCCACCTTCACAAGGTCACTGAGGCCAGAGCTTAAGGCGGAATGGGATCCTACGCAGGACCCACCCCCAGCCCAGCAGGGCCACCCCAGCCCAGAGGGAGGGGCGGGGCAGGAAGTGTGGTCTGGCTGGTGAGAGCTGTGGCCTCCAGCTGTCCCGGAGCCAAGACAAGGAAAACAGCTTCTGCCGGACCACCCCCCCCCCCTGCTCTCCCGGCTCCTGCTGGCACCCCCACTAGCTGAACCCCCACCAGCCAGAAGGTCCGGGGAGCTGGGTGCTCTGGGCCCCCAGTGGCACAGAGGTGGTGGAGGAGCGCAGGGAGGGGACTGGAGAGAGAGACCACCATGGGGGTTGGGGTGGGGTGGGGGTGGAACATGCTCTTATGGACGCCCAGAAACCCTGACAGCTCCCCTAAGCAACCGAGGGCCAGGGTGGCCCCTGAAGGGGTGGGGATGGAGGGGACAGAGGTGGCGGGAAGGCTGCCCCTTTTCCCTTCTGTGCTGTGTTGATCACGGATGCAGGTGTGACTGTTTCCTGGGCAAACCGGTGAGCATACGGAGAGAGTCTGAGCCTCTCCATCAAAGGAGGGTGAGGTAGGGGTAGATGGCTTCCGGGGAGGCAGTTAGGGGGCTAACCTCCCCACCGTTGGCCCCAGACGTGAGCCTTTTGCAAGAGCCTTTTCCTGGGGCAGTGGGGGTCGGGCTGCTGGGCTCCCATCCCAGCGGTGGGATCTCAGGCGGGTGTCTTCACCTCTCTGGGCCTTGGTCTCCCCGGCCGCCCCGTGGGGTGAGCAATAGCTCGCTCCCTTCTGCCTCCCGTGAGCCTGGCGCAGTGGGGGGCATAGCCGGCAGCGCCTGGCATGGAGCGGCCAGCGAGCTGTGAGGGGCTGAGCATCCTTCCTCCTCGCCAGCCTCACGGAGCTCCTCTCTCCTCCCCTCTCCCCTCAGATCGTCTCCAGCAAAAAGATCACTCGGCCGCTGCTGCTGATGAATGACAAGCCCGCCGGGAAGGGCTTGATTACGGTACCCGGCGCCTCCCCGCCACCACCACCCTCCTACACCCCCTCAGCTTCTGCCTCTGCGGGCTGCCCTCCCCCATCAATGGGCCGCCTCCCTGGCAGATAATTACCAGCTTTGTTTGGAGTAAAAAGGCCCAACTTACAACTTAGCAACAGGTCTCTTAGCAACCGGCTCCCGGCTCCACACAGGATGCCTGGGGGGCCGCCAAGCTGGGGGTAAGGGGGTTGTCAGAGGCCCCCCGCCCCCAGCCTTTTACTCCCGGGGTGCGCTCCTACTCCAGAGGCCTCCAGAGCCCTCCCAGCCCTGCACCCCCCTCCCCACCCCTCCCTGCCTGCCCTCCATAGGGGGTCTTGCAGCGGCGCCTTGCCAGGCAGAAATGGGCTTGTGGCTGCAGACAATGATTCTGTGATGCAGTGACTGGCGCGATGTGCAATGATTCTTGCGATGCTCAGGTCCTCTGCGGGCTGAACTCAGCCCCCCAGATTCCAGAAGGCGGAGAACCGCCCCCCCCCTCGCTTTGCAGATGAGGGGGCTGAAGCCCACTGAGGCGGTTCAGCTAGTGAGCTTCTCTCCTGGAAGGTCCCCTTCAGACCCCAGGTGACCCCGAGAACTGGCCACATAGGGAGGGAGGGTAGGGGTGACATGGGGGGGGGCAGTCCTAGGTGTGTGCACACCAGGTCCCTCTCCTGTTCTGAGCCTCCCTGACTCCTAAGGGCCGGGAGCCCCTCGGTCCAGGGGGTGAGGGACCCACCGTCCCCGCCTTGCGCTCCTGTGCGTGCCTTGGGGTGGAGGCAGCTGAATTCCTGCACCCCTTGCACATGCCCCCAGACCCATATCCGCTGTCCTGCCGCCTGGCGAGGCCTCTCCCCACCTCCCTCCACCTCGTGGGGTCCAAATCTTCCCAGGCCCGGACTTCACGACCCCACCCCTCCTGAGGTGCCCTCCCCCTGAGCATGTCCACCTGCCCCAGCGAGGCCTCAGTGCCCTCCTCCAAGCAATGGGTGCAGCAGTAGGACCCACCCTGCAGGGTGCTGAGTGAGTCTCCGCTGGAGGAGGGGAGGGGGAGGCCAGTGGCTCTGTGGCTCTGCAAGCACATTCGGGGAGGCCATCCTAGGGGTGGGGGGAGGGGAAGCCCTAGCCCAGAGAGGACCCAGCCCACTGCACTGCTGTGGACCGAGGCCTGCCCTGCCCTTGGGGGGACAGGGAGGGCACCTGGCAGTCCCCGGTGACCGGCTGGGGCCAGAGAGCCCCCCTGGCGGATGGGGAAGGCGTGGAGAATGGATGGCAGTGAGCTGAGAGAGCAGAGGGGGCTCAGGTGGCTCCCATCCCTGCCCCGGGCCTCAGTTTCCCTAGCTGCAGAGTGAAGTGGCTGGAATTTCTGAGACCGTGGTGTTTGGGGGGGCTGTGCTCTCCAGCTCGCAGTGGGGGCGTGAGGGGGCCCAGAGCCTCTCCCTCAGGACTCAAGACCCCCCCCCACCTCCACGTCTGGTGCCCGCTTTCTCTCCCTCGCCATCCTTCTCTGGAGCCACATAGGGGCCCTGGGTTTTGGTCCCTCCTGTCCACACGGGTTACCCCATTTTCAGAGGATGGAAACGGAGGTGCGGGGAAGACGAGAGACTAGTCCAGGGTCATTTGGCACTATCCCTCCCCTCCCTTCCCCCTCTTCGCTCTGGAGCATTGACTCCTGGGGAACTCTATGCCCACCCTGCCCGGCAGGGGGCCAGGGGAGTCTGAGACACGGGTGCTGAGCGCCCCATTCCTCTGGCCTCCCAGATCGCCGCCCAGGAGCTGTCGGACAACCGCGTCATCACGCTGAGTCTGGCCGGCAGGAAGCTGGACAAGAAGGTGAGGTGGGCGGGGGGGAGGGGTACCCCTTCCCAGCCCCAGGGTGGTGTGGCCTAGACCTAGAACTTCTGTTTGGCCGCCCCTGTCGGCACCCCCCACCGAGGGACAAGCCCATCGCCCAGGGCAGTTCTGGCCACTCCCACATAGGACCCCCTCCACCATAGAGGTAGTGAGTTCCCCGTCACTGAGAAGTATTCAAGACACGGCTCTCGGTCCAGACCCGCTCCTAGGGAACTCTCTGTGTGTCAGTGCTGGGATCCTCACAGCAGCCTGGGGTCCCCGCCTGGTGTGTCCGCAGCCCCAGACCCCCTGACCTCGCCCGTGTCACTCTCCCCGCCGTCATTCCGCCTCAGCCACATCAGCTCCTCCTGCTCCCAGGATTGCACCAGGCGCCCCGCTGCCTCAGGGCCTTTGCATGTGCTGTTCCCTCTGCCCGCAGGGATCTTTTCCTTAAACATTCTCCTGGTGGCCCCTCACCTCCATCAGGCATTTACTCTTATGTCACCTACTCAGCAAGTCTTCCCCAAAACTGTAATGGTCCCTGATTCCCGCCCTCCTCCCCCGAGTTGCTATACTTGTCTCCTTAATACTAATCGCTGCCTGTTGTACATTATTATTTATTTCCTGGCTCCCTCACTTGATTATCGGTTCTTTAGAGCCACACTCTTTTAACCTAAGTAACTGGGTGTTGTTGTTGTTTTTTTGTTTTTTTAAATATATTTTATTGATTTTTTCCAGAGAGGAAAGGAGAGAGATAGAGAGTTAGAAACATCAATGAGAGAGAATCATCGATCAGCTGCCTCCTGCACACCTCCCAATGGTGATGTGCCCGCAACCCAGGTACATGCCCTTGACCGGAATCGAACCGGGGACCTTTCAGTCCGCAGGCTGACGCTCTATCCACTGAGCCAAACCGGTTACGGCAAAGTAACTGGTTTTTAAAAGGATGTCCTGTCCCATCTGTAAAGTGCTTGGGAAAGTTGCCATTTTTTCGGGTTCCCTCTACAATAAATGAGAATCACATCCTGCCGGGCATCCCCCCCCCACCCCACCCCCCGCCCTGGGCACAGTCCCCCTTTGGAAGTCCCGCCTGGCCCACCGCGCTGGCCTCCCGCTCCCGCACCTGCACCCCCAGGGTCTCTGAGTTCCAGTGTGGGAACCCCGGGGTGGGGTGGTCTCTCTGGGAGGCAGTGGGTCCCAGGGGCCACAGCAGCCCTGGGCCTCTCGCTGAGCCCCGCAGACGCCGAGGGGAGGGGGGCTGGGCTGGCTTCGCCCACAGCTGCCCCCTGACACTGGGCTGGGGGGGGCAGCCGGGTCACAACCCCCTCCTGGCTGAAGCTGGCAGTTGCGCCTCCCTCACCTGCCTCCTCTGCTCCCCTCAGGACCTCTTTGGGAAGTCAGACCCGTTTCTCGAGTTTTATAAGCCCGGGGATGACGGCAAGTGGATGCTGGTCCACAGGACGGAGGTGGGTGCTGGGGACCGGGGTGTCTCTCCAGTCCAGCTGCCCCCGAGAGAGCTGTGCCCAGGGGAGTGTGATGGAGCCTGGAGGACTGGTCTCCCTGCGCAGGGCTGCCCACTCCCTCCTCGGAAATGTGGCAGTGGGTCTCTCCATCTGGCCACTCCCCGCCCCCCACTGGGCTACCCTGAGCCCAGCGCACTGCTGTCCCCTGGCCCACGCCCAGCTGCCCCTCACGGCCCGGCCCGCAGGTGATCAAGTACACGCTGGACCCCGTGTGGAAGCCGTTCACCGTGCCACTGGTGTCCCTGTGCGACGGGGACCTGGAGAAGCCCATCCAGGTGAGGGGCCCCTGCTCCCCACCCTGCCAGCTGCGGCCGTCCTGTCTCCCCCAGGCTTTCCGAGGTGTCCCCGCAAAGCTCTTCCTTTAAAAATGTTTGTATTGATTTCAGAGAGGAAAGGAGAGGGAGAGAGAGAGAAATATCAATAAGGAGAGAGATCCTACTGGGGATGGAGCCCACAACCCAGGCATGTGCCCTGAGCAGGAATCGAACCGTGACCTCCTGGTTCATAGATCGATGCTCAACCACTGAGCCACACTGGCCAGGCAGCTCTTTCTTACTCAGATGGAGAGAGAACCCTTTTGGGGGGGATGGGGGAGACCCCGGTCCTGGTCCTGGGTCTGCCCAGCCCCTGAGTGACCTGGGCAGTGCTGCCAGCTTGGTGGGTCCCTTCTCTAAAACAAGGTGACTGCCCTGTTGTCCCTGAAGGGTTTGGGAACTGAGAGGGGTGGAGGGCTCCTCTCTGGGGGGCAGCTCTGGAGTGACCTCACCGGACCCACCCCAGGTCATATGCTACGACTATGACAACGACGGGGGCCACGACTTCATCGGCGAGTTCCAGACCTCCGTGTCCCAGATGTGCAATGCTCGCGACGGCGTTCCGGTAAGAGGGGTGTGGGCGCGTGCGTGTGCTTGTGTGTGTCCCCAAGGCCTCAGCAGGGGCCGGGGGGGGGGCGGAGCACAGGTTTTGGAATCAGGCAGACTGGGACTCAGATTTTACTTCTTTGGCTGTATGGCCTTGAATAAGACATCCAGTCTCTCTGGGCCTCGGTTTGCCCATCTGTCAAATGGGGATGGAGTAGAGTGGGAATGAAATGAAATGGGGATGGAGTAGAGTGGGAATGAAATGAAATGATACAGTAGGAATGAAATGAAAGGGCCTAGCACATAGCGAGCACTCAGGAGCTGCCCACGTCACTGACCCTGAGAAGTCAGGCCCTGGGTGCCAGGTCGGGGCTCATGAGTGGGGATATGACATGGATGTGCTGGCTTGGGGTCAGGGTAGAGGCAGCTCTCTTACCGTGGAAGCCACAGCTTGGGGTGAACCCCGGGGGGCAGGACCCATTTCTGGGTGTGGACATCCAAGAAGGCTTCCTGGAGGAGGCACGCCACCCCTGGTCGATGCTGTGGAGGGGATTCTGAGGTCCAGAGGAGGGTCAGTCCCCAGGCAGGCCCTGAGGTGAGCTTCTCTCCCTCCTCCCAGCTGGAGTTCGAGTGCATCAACCCCAAGAAGCAGAGGAAAAAGAAGAACTATAAAAACTCGGGCATTATTATCCTGCGATCCTGCAAGGTGAGCCAGCGGGGAGCGGGGGCGGGGGAGGCCCAGGGCAGGGCGGGGACCCACTGACGCCCCGATTCCTTGCAGATCAACCGGGACTACTCCTTCCTGGACTACATCCTGGGAGGCTGCCAGCTCATGTTCACCGTAAGCTCCCCCCACCCCCTGAGGGTCCTGCAGGAGGGGCTTCCCAGGCCCAGGGGGTGACCGCCTGGTGGGTGGGCCCGAGGCCGGGCTCTGCCCTCCCAGCAGCCTCAGGCGCCCAGGCCCCTTGGGGGTCTGAGGGACGAGGAGGAGTTGGCGTGGGTGGGTGAGTGTCTGGGAGAACAAGGGGCTCTTTAAGGGGCAGGAGCCCCAGGACTAAAGGCCTGGAGTGGGGAGCCGGGGGCTGGGAGGCGGAGAGGGAAGGAATTTGGGCTCTGAGTTGGCTTTGTGCCTCGATGCCCAGGCCACTGTGAGCCACAGCTGGCGTTGGAGCCTGCGGAGTGACTCAGGTGTCAGCTGCCTCTCTGCTCCCCGCAGCGGGCTCCCCGCGGGCATGACGGGGAGCCAGGGTCTCTGCTCACTCTGGGGGGGCCTCCTCCCCACCCCGCAGGTCGGGATAGACTTTACGGCCTCCAACGGCAACCCCTTCGACCCCTCCTCCCTGCACTACATCAACCCCATGGGCACCAACGAGTACCTGTCGGCCATCTGGGCCGTGGGGCAGATCATCCAGGACTACGACAGGTGAGCAGGGAGGGACCCGCGGGGCCGCCCGGCTCCCCGCCACGCGGCCGAGACCCGGGCCCCCCCTGGGGGAGTTTCCACCGGAGGGCGAAGGTGGGGGGGACATCCCTGACGTCTCCACAGACCAGTGTACGAGGGAGGCATGGGCTACGGGAGCACCAGAGAGAGAGGGAGCCGGGGTACCGGGGAACCCCCCCCCCCCCCCCGAGAAAAGGGGCCATTGGAACTGGGCCTTGGAGAATGAGGAGGAGATCCCGGGAGGGGGCGCCCAGGATTGGGGTGGGGTGGCCCGTGGTCAGGGGCCAGGGCTGGGGGACAGGGGGTGAGGGAGGGCGGGAGGAAGGGGATGGGGCCGAGCGCCAGTGTTCTCCTTTGGGGAGAACGTTCCCAGCCATGAAGGAAGGCTGAGTGAGCCAGGGCCTTCATTTCCACCATGCCTGGTCTAGCGGCTGCGTGAGGCCCCCCGGGTGAGAAGGATCTATTAATAGAATAAGGTGACCAGACGTCCCGCTTTTGGCGGGACAGCCCCGATTTTCAACGATGACAGTCCGGATTTCCAACAATTGGTCCCGCGACCCGCGGCATTTTTTAAAAAGTCCCAATCAGGACTTTTTAAAAAATGCCATGGGACGGGGGACAAATTGTTGGAAATCAGGACTGTCCCGCCCAAAGCGGACGTCTGGTCACCTTAATCTGGAAGCTGCGCGCAGGCCCACGGGTTAGACGCCCTGTGTCCGTCACAGTGTAGACGGCAGACACCCACCGGACACCCAGAGGCAGGTCTGCGCTCTGCCAGAGCGGGTGAGCTTTGTCTGTGAGTGAGACACAGAGGCCCAGGCCCGGGGAGGGCTGGGGAGGGCGAGTGCGGGGCTGCGGCCCCCGTCCTGCTGTCTCACGGCGATTTTTTCTCCTCTCTCTCGTCAGCGATAAGATGTTTCCCGCCCTCGGGTTCGGGGCCCAGTTACCCCCAGACTGGAAGGTGAGTGAAGCCGGACTCCCGGCCGAGATGGGATGTGAGTGTACCGTCCCCCAAGATCTGCTTTGGAAAGTCGGGCGCTCGGCCTGGCTGCCCTGCCTTTGAGTTGCCCCCAAACCCACGTTCCTTTCTCATCCTGAACCTCCCCCCGCCCCCGAGCAGGACAGGGATGCTGCCTGCCTCCCCTCCCCCTTGGTACCCAAGTTGAGGGCAGGGGAGGCGCAGAGATGAAGAGGATATCAGATTTAGCAAATACAAACACAGGCCACCCATTGAATATCAGATTAACAAGGGGTTTTTGTTGTTGTTGTTGTTTTTAAATATCAGCATGTCCTAAATATTGTCTGGGAAATGCTTATCCTAAAATATCCATTGTTTGTCTGAAATTCAAATATAACAGGGCATCTGTATTCTGTCTGGCAGCCCCAAAGACGGGCAGGGTCATGAGTGCAGAGATGGGACAGCATGGGCCAGAGGATTGCCCCAGTCCAGCCTGGGGGTATCCAGGAAGGCTTCCTGGAGGAGGCGTGGTCTAAGCCCCAGGGGAAGTAGGCATTCTCAACGACTGGGGGTGGCGCTGGGGCAGGCAGCGTGGCAGAGAGAACAGCCCGTCCACGGCCGGGCGGCTGGGGAAGCAGGCCAGTTGCAGGAACAGAGGGAAGGTGGGCGTGGTGGACTGTCTGTGGAGGATGGGCAGGACGGAGAGAGAGGAGGCTGGAGGGGCGGGGGGAGGGGGGGGGAGGGCCAAGCCCTGCAGGGCTCAGGCGCATCTTAAAGAGCAAAGGGCACTCCAGTTGGCATTTTTGAGGCCCACGCTGGCAGCGGAGGGGGACTGGCTGGGCTGAGGGTGGGCTGGAGGGAGGGATGGAGGGAAGGGACGATGTTCGTTTTTCAGGGGCAAGAACAGGGGGGTTCAGGGCCTGCCCTGGGCCACATTGAACAACCGGGGCCTTGCAATGGTATATGTACAAAGGTAATAATTTAATTAAAAAAAAATAATAATAAACAACAACAGGGGCCTTGATCCCAACTGGACAGATGGAGCCTGAGGTGGGCTCTCAGAAGCTGCAGCCTCTCCGATGAGAAGCCCCGGGTGGGGGGAGGGGTGCCCGGGGGCTCCTACACCTGCGTGTCTGTCCCGGCCGGTGCGCCCGCCCGTCCACGTTGCTCGCCGCTCCTGCTCTTTCCAGAATGAGCGCCCGCGTCCCAGCCTCCCCAGGGAGGATGGTTTTCACCTGGAACCTCAGAGCGCGGCTGTGGGACCTGCTGGCCGCCCTGTGGCAGGGGGCAGGGTCCCGCAGGACCAAATTGGTGCCTGCCGCGGGGAGAGGCGGCAGGGAGGGCTGGTGCCGGCAGGCCCAGCGGGAGCCTGTTGCTAGGACACCGGCCAGCTTCCAGAGAACCGGCTCCATGAGATGTTCTCTTGCGCAAAAGCCTCCTGGAAAATGTCACAGGCCAGCTCCGGGGAGACGGGGGCTCGGCCAGGCTGGAGGGATGCTGGGACCAGGCGGGGAGAGAGCAGAGAACTCTGTCCCATCCTCCCTGCCAGGCCGGGGCCCTCCCGGCCTGACCCCCTCCCTCTCATTCTAACCGGCCTTGCTCCCGCCCGGGGAACCTTCTGTCCTTCCTTCCCGCCCCAGGCCCTTTGCATGTTGCTTCCTTTCCCTGGCCCCCCAGCACTTCATGGGAGAGATCATCCTGACCCCATGGCCAGGCCTCCTCTGGCAGTCCCCTCCTCCCTGCGGGCACTGTCCTCTGTGCTGTGGTCACTCTGTCTGTGTGGGCTCCATGCTGAGCAGGAGGGTGTCCCAGCATGCACTTGGGTGTGTGTTTGTTGACAGTGAATTTGAGGCCCTGGGGCAGAGTAGGCAGAGGTGCTGGTTCTGAGGGTGGGACGCTGAGAGGAGCCAGGAGGACGGGCTTCCTGCCCCTGTGGTGTCAGTTCCCCCCTGGCCTCGGCAGGGGCTGAGGGGTGCAGGAAGCGTCCCCCTGAGGAGGTGGCGTGAGGGCGTGGGCCTTGGAAATGAGCTGGAATTAGATGAAGGGGGAGACGGGGCAGAGGAAGGGCTGGGAGGGGAGGAACACCGTGGGGTGACTCCCCTCGTCTCACAGATGGGGAAACGGAGGCTTACGGAGGGCAGCTCTGAGGTCGGCTCCTCTACCTCTGAGCCTCAGCCTCTGCCAGGGCCGCAGGGAGCTGAGCCTTAAGTGACTCCCTGAGCAGGCCCGGAGCGGGCCAGGGGAGGTCAGCGGGGACCGCTGGTGTCACAGGCCCCGGGGAGCCCAGGACAAAGACCTGTGGCCAGCCGGTCCCCAGGGGCCCCTAATCGGCTTGGTGTGGCCTCCGTGCAGCTGGTTGTTTACTGGTGTTTTCCGGGCAAACCAGGGCAACCAGGGTGGGAGGGGCGGTGCTTGGGCAGCCAGGACACCTGCGCCCCCTCCCAACCCCAGGCCTGTTGCTGGCTCTGCTGGGGCTCACTCACGTGACCCGGGCATCCCTTGGCTCTCCCTGAACCTCAGTGTTGCCACCTGGGGAATGGAGCAGCTGCTGTAGGTAACCTAAGCAGCCTGGGGAGGAGGCTGACCTCCCCAGCCCCACCCCCTTGACCCCAGGCCACGCCACACCCTCCCCCAAAGAAGGGGAAGGAGTCGGAAGGAAGAGTCTGGGAGGCCCAGAAAGGTAAATATCAGTCCACCCCTATCAGGGGGGACTTTTCCCCCTTGGTCTCTAAAACCTCCTAAAATCTGATTTTGTAGGAAATCATGGGCCCAAGGGAGGCCTGTTTCCCTGGCAACCATTTTTCTCTCTCAGCCCCCTCCAGGCAAGCCCCCCTCCAGATCGCTGTAGAGCAGGCTCGTGAAGTTGCCACGGCAACGAGGACCTTGTGGGGGGGGGGGGGAGGTCGGGTCCCTACACCTGGAGCCCAGACTGGGGACAGAGGAATGGGGACCTGGGCAGGGCATCAGGGGGCTGGCTCCATGCCAGGCACTTAGGGCTGAAGGAGCAAAAAAACAGAACCCTCCCAGCCCCAGAACAGGAAGGGGGTCTTCTCCTCAGGCCTCCTGCCCACCCTCCCCTCTTGGTGCAGGAGGGCTCCCCAAGGGCTGGCGTCCAGCCCCATCTCTGGGCGGGAGGGCCTGTGTCTCTGGCCTGTTCCGCTGTGTAGCCTTGGCACCTGGCTTCCCCGCTCCGGGCCTCAGTGTGTGTGTTTGTGAAATGGGGGCATTGGACTTCCAGCGCCTCCTCTGTAGTGTCAGGAGCTAACGGGTGTGTCTGGAGTGGTCTGTGCCCAGACTGGGCCCCCCTAAGAGTCCCCCCTGGGCCAGACGCTTCGCCCTCTTCATTAAAAACCCGCCAGGCAGGAGCACCTGCTGAGGCCCGTGGACTTATGGGAAGTGAGCGCAGGAGGCAGCCCGGCCTTCCGTGAATGTGAGGCCGCGGGCATGTTCTCGTCCGAGCTGTGTCTCCGTTTCATCATCTCAAACGTGGGGCAATACCGGCCTGTCCCCACTGGACGACACGAGGAAGGATGAGGGGAGGATTGCGGAGCAGGAGCACGGGGCGTGGCACGCGGTAGGGAAGGGGGCTGAGTGGAGCGTTTGAACCTAAGGGAGGAGGGAGAGTGGGGGGACCCCTTTCTGAGCTCCGGCTCTCCTGAGGCCCCGGGCTCTGCAGCACCCCCAGTCTCCCTGCAGCCCTGATGGGGTCTAGTTGTGGTCCACGCCTGTTCCCCGTGGTCAGGGTGCACTGGCGGCCAGGCGTGTGCAGGCAGCCCGTGACTCGGGGGAACTCTGGTCCTGGCCCCAGCACACACGAGAGCTGATGGCGAAGGGGCATTCTGAGTGCGCCTAGACCACGGTGGGCAAACTGCGGCTCTTTGGCCCCTGGAGTGTGGCTCTTCCACAAAATTCCACGTGTGGGCGCGCACGTACAGTGCGCTTGAAACTTCGTGGCCCATGCGCAGAAGTCGGTTTTCGGCTCTCCAAAGAAATTTCAGTCGTCGTCCTGTTGATGTTTGGCTCTGTGGACTAATGAGTTTGCCGACCACTGGCCTAGACCCACCGCCTCAGAGGCACCTCTGCCCACTCAGGCAGCCCCCTCCTGAGGACGGACGGGGTGATGTGGAGGGGTCTCGGGGGTCTCTCTGTGTGGCTCACACCCAGCCATGGAGGTTATGCAGCTGTGAGGCATCAGTAGCCCTGACCTCGGGGAGGGGAGAGTAAAGAGCAGGTGCCCACGGAAGGAGTCTGGGCGCAGCAGGGGGAGGGGGACGGGACCAGGTTCGGGGCCAGGAGGCCGCCCGCTGAGCCATCTTCTCTGCATTTCAGGTCTCCCATGAGTTTGCCATCAACTTCAACCCCACCAACCCCTTCTGCTCAGGTGAGCCTCAGCCTCCCCACACCTGCCCTGGGTTTGCGCCGGCCACCTTCATGGGCAGAGGGAGGGCGGAGAACAGGCCTCCAGGCTTCCGTACCTTCCTCCTCTCCCTGCCCCTCCGGCTTTCTCAAAAGGGGACAGGTGGGGGCTGGAGTTGCAGGTTGGAGTCGGGCGGCCCTGGGTTCGAGGTTAGCTGCTGCCCCTTCCTGGCTGGGTGACCTTGGAGAGATCACTGCACCTGAGCCTTTGGTTTCTCACCTGCTCTGGGGAGATGGGATACCTGCTTAGCTCACGTCACTGTGGTCAGGTGGGAATTCAGGAAAGCGCTGATAGGAAGCCCTGGGTATAAGGTCGGAGATTACACCCCTGCCCCTCACTTCCTGCCAGCTCTGGCTGGGAGGGCCCAGCCCTGCCCCACTCTGCTCTGCCTTTCAGGAGAGCTTTGGCACCCAAGGGTTGACGGTTGCCTGGGGCAGGGAGGAGGAAGGGGCAGGCAGTGGCGGGCAGTCTGTGCTCAGCCCCGTACCTAAGGCCTTAGAGGATTTCTGAGCCCCGGAGTCAGTCAGGAAAGTACTGGAGGAGGAACAGGAGCTCCGGGTGGGTATGGAAGAGGGTGAGGCACCCACCATCCTGGGGGAGCCCCAAAGCTGGCCTAGTCTGTACTTGGAAGGGAAACGCATCAAGTCCCGAACTTGGGGACGATGCTGAGACTCAGAAGCCATAAATTGGCAAGACATGTGACCTGCACTCCTGCTGGGGTCTGCCTGGCTTGGAGCGGGTCTCCAGAGATATTTTGTCCAAGTTCCTATTTGTCACCCTCGTTTCTGGCCAGAGACCTTCTAGGGAGGACACAGGGCGGGTGGATATTCTTGGGCTCAGAAGGGTGGCTGTTTGCAGAGCACCTACTGAGTGCAGGGCCGGGGGAAGCAGCTCAGTCCCCCCAGCAAAAGCCTCAGCGGGTCCCCAGTGGACTTCCTGATGGCTCCCCGTGGCCCTGGCGTGTCACCGCAGGCTTTTCCAAGTCTGCCCGACCCCCTCCCGCCCAGTGCCCCAAAATTATCAGTCTCATGAAAGGGAAACAGGCTCAGAAAGATTAAACTTGCCCCAGGTCCCACAGCTAAGAAGTATAAAGGTAAGATTTGAACTCAGGCCTGTCTGACTCCACATTTGGGGCTCTTTATAGCGCCCGGCCCTGTCCTCCGGGAGCTTCCAGCCAGGGGACTGGGGTGAGAAATGGGGATGAGAGGGCGGGGGCTGAGGGAGCACCCAGCTGACTGAGACTCCTCTCCGAAGCAGGCGTGGACGGCATCGCCCAGGCGTACTCGGCCTGCCTGCCCCACATCCGCTTCTACGGTCCCACCAACTTCTCGCCCATCGTCAACCACGTGGCCCGGTTTGCGGCCCAGGCCACGCAGCAGGAGACAGCAACGGTGAGTAGGGGGGCGGGGGGGGGGGAGGAGGCTGAGACAAGCCTCTCCCCAGCTCTGGGCCTCTTTCCGTTCTAAAATGGGAGAAGGAAAGCTTGGGGGGGGGGGGGGGAGATGACACTGTGAGCATCTGGGGCAACATGAATGGGGCCGCGTCTGGGGCTGGCCTGGGAGTGGCTTTTCATAAAATTCCTGGGGCTTTGGGCTGGGATTGTTTGGATGCCTGCAGCCAGCCAGGCCATTGTGCTGCCCAGGCTATTATCCCCTGAGCCTGCTTTCAGAGGAATGGAAAAAAGACCTGCATTCTTGTTGAAGGGGAAAAACCAGGAGGGGGAGCGGGAAGGGAGCCAGTAGCTCTTGCACCTGCTGAGAGCTGGTAGGACTGAGGTGGAGGTGGGGCCCCAGGAGACGTGGCCCCCACTGGCTGGATCCTAGGTCTGCAGGGGGCCTGGGCCCCGGGGAGGGCCAGGAAGGTGCCTGGCCCATTCCCTGAGCAAGTCTGCATTCTGAGCATTCCTAATCCTCCAGCCACTTTATGGTGACCTGGCCCTCCCTGGGGACCCAGCTCCCTCCTGTTGCCCACCCCAGCTCAGGCCGTCTCCATCCATCTCTGGGCAGGAGAGGGGCCAGGGCGTCTCTTTTGGCTCCTCTTACACCAAGAGTGGATACTAATAGGTCTCACCTTGCTCAAAATGTGGGGGCGGTGGGCTGTCTGATGGTTCAGCCCTGTGAGAGATGGCTCACCTGTCTGAATTCAGATGGCAGACTCGGAGACAGAAGTATGGCGAAAAGGAGACGTTAATACCCTCTGGAGAGGGGGCGCCCGTCCCATTGTACAGGCACACCTGGTGCAGCCAGCATAGCCTGTTCATTTAGCCCCTCCCCCGGCTCCTCATTGGCTGAGTACTATGGGGTCACCCGTTTCCTCACAGGTCGCCTAGGTCCGTGGTGGGCAAACTGCGGCTCACAAGCCACATGCGGCTCTTTGGCCCCTTGAGTGTGGCTCTTCCACAAAATACCACGGTCTGGGTGAGTCTATTTTGAAGAAGTGGCATTAGAAGGAGATTAAAGTATTTGGCTCTCAAAAGAAATTTCAATCATTGTACTGTTGATATTTTGGCTCTGTGGACTAATGAGTTTGCCGACCATCGGCCTAGGTCTTGCCGGATCCCATTGGGCTGAGGCCTTTCTAGCTGCCTCCACCTCCCCTGTCTAGCTGAGGCAGACATCCTGGGGGGTCTCCACCATGATGCGGGCCCACATGCAGCTCTGTTCCTCTTCCCGCCTCCTGCATTCTGTTTGCCCTGGGGAAATTCAGCAAATTCCATCAAGAGCCAGCCACGCTGGAGATGGGTCACAGCAGTCCCACGCTCTCAGAGGCCCCAAAACTCTGCTCATACTCCAGCGCCCCCACTTCATGGCTGTGGGACCCGCAGCAGGTTGCTTTAGCTCTCTGGACCTGTTGCCTCGCCTGAACAATGCAGGCGCTGGAACAGCACGTGCCTGATAGCAGCCCGGTGAGCATTCAGCCAGATGAGCGCGCACATGGCTCAGCACAGGGCCTGACGCACAATGTGCGCTCGGAGTGTGGGTGGCTGCATCTTCCGGGGTCGCCTCTCGGGCCAGCATTTGGTGAGGCCGAGCACATTTGGGCCCGAGGCAAGAGAAAACCATCGGAGCGTTAACGGATGCTTTTATGCAGCCGCTGTGGGGGACTAGTTGGTGTGGCTTCGCCCTCCCTGTTCACACGCACACGCATGCACGCCCACGCAGAGGAAAGACAGCAGGTGGTAGGAAGCGTCTCTCTAGGCAGAGCTGTACTCCATTCATTCACACAACACGTCTTTTGTTTTTAAATGTATCTTTATTATTGATTTCGGAGAGGGAGAGAGAAACATCAATGATGAGAAAATCATTGATCAGCTGCCTCCTGCACAACCCTCACTGGGGATCGAGCCCACAACCTGGGCATGTGCTCTGACCGAAATTTGAATCATGACCTCCTGGCTCACAGGTCAATGCTCAGCCACGCCTGTCTGGGCCACATAACACATCTTTACTGAGAATATTTCTGTGTAGAACTGTGGGTGGGGGGTGGGGGGGAAGGTGGTGGTGGGGGGTGGCTGTAATACACAGATACAGCCTCTCTCCTCCAGTCTAGTGGGGGGCCGGGCCAGAGAGCAGCAACTGAGATGCAAGGTGATTAAACCTGCGGTGATAGAAGCAGTCATAAAGGTGGCACCTGACCCAGAGGGCGCAGGAAGGCTTCTTGGGAAAGTGATGTCCAGGCTGAGACTTGGAGGATGCTTGAGAGTCAGCCTCGAGTCATGTGTGTGCAGGTGCATGTGTGAACATGTGTGCATAGCATAGCATCCCAGGCAGAGGAAACAGCACGTGCAAAGCCTGGAGGCACGGTGTGTGGGCATACCTGAAGGAGAGTGGTGGCAGAGGGCAGAGCCAGCTCCCACAGGGGGGTGGGAGGTGGTGAGGAATCTGATGAATTTACCCTTGAGGACAGGGGGAGCCACTGAAGGGTGTTAAGAGGTTCTGGTGGGGTCAGGGGGCTCCTGCCACAGGGCCTTCTTGTCCACGGCCCATTCCTGGTTGGCCGCTTAGGTGTCTGGTGTTCCCGTGGAGGGGACCTAGGAAGCGGCCTGGACCCTGGGAATTCCCCCCTTCCATTCCCACCCCAGGCAAACCCACTTCTCAAGCCAGGGAGTGAGTGCAGACTGCCTGGAACTGTGTGGTCAAGTCAGTTTCCTTATAAATCAAATCACAGTGTTGTATGGGTTACTGGCTGGTTACAGTCCTAGGAACCCAAAGGCAGAAGATGCAAGGTGGTCCTTGGAGGGCGCTGGGAGCACAGATAGGGTGAGATGGCCTGTGAGGTGGAGAAGAGGGTAAACGGAGCTATCCTGAGGCTTGTTCAGGGTGTTGGGGAAGGAAGAGATGCCCCAAGGAGGAGCCCCCCCCGATGGCCAACGCTGGCAGTGGAAACAGCTCAGCGCTGAGAGGGAGACGCTCAGGTGGGTTTTGGAGCTGAGGCTGGGAAGGCTGTGCCAGGCGGAAATAAACCGGGAAAGGCTCCCGTGGAGGTGGGAAATGTCTGTGGGGACAGCAGATCCCCTTTCCCCTCCTACTGCCCGATTCTGCCCTTCATTCTCCCTGATCACAGCCCCTTCTGAGCTGTCTTGAGGGTGGGGGGCTTGGACCCCTGGAGTTGTAATGAACCCTAGAGGCTCCTGGACAACCTGGACTCTGCCCACGCTGGGCAAGGAGCCCAGGACTTCCATCGCCAAGGCTGGTTGGTGATCCCAAGCTGAGGACAAACGTGACGTGGGCATGGTGACCAACTGGTTGGCACCAGGAGTGAGGTGCAAGTCCAGTGCCACGGCTCTGGACCCTGCCCTGGGCTGCTGTGTTGGACTTTCTGGCCTCCTGACCCTAGGGTGCTGGGTGAGAGGGTGCAGACCCACTCCTGGAGAGGACTGCAGGCAGAGGGAAGAACCCCACCTTTGGAGTCAGCGAGGCTTGGCTCAGAACTGAGACTGGCTGGGAGGCCCGAAGTCACTTAATCTCACTCTGCACCCTGTCTCTAAGAGGGCACTTGCACCTGAAGGTGTCAGGAAGGGCCTGTGCAGTCCCTGTGTTTACAGGGACTTCCTCATCCAGAGAGTTAGTGCCCACTGCCCTGCAGAGCCCAGGCCCTGTCTGCCCACCTTCCTGGACAGGGCTGAGGGAGGCTCAGGCCTGCACACTCCAGGTCTCCCAGTGCAGACGTGAGGCTGATTGAATGGGGAGCCAGCAGGGCCACGAGGGGTGGAGGATGGGAGGCCCGTGCCACCCCTTTTTCCCCTCCCGCATTGCCAGGCTTCAAGTCTTCCTGCCCGTGAGGCGCCCTGGAATATTTCTGGTGGGATGGAAACACCCGATTTAGGGAAGGGTTGCAGGGATGGGGAGCTGGCAGCAGCAGCCCGCCACTGCAGGGGTTCAGGCCACCATCTCCATAGCAACAGGTATCCCAGTCAAGGGTTTGATCTCTTAAAGGCACAGTGCAGGAGCCAGCCTACTGCTGCCAGGACTGGGATTAGGATCGTGGGGTTCACGCTTCCATGTGACTCACCCTCTCCTTCCACAGTTTGTGCTTGGGGCACAGGCAGGAGAGCAAGGCATCCTAGGGGCTGAACTTGTATGCCCTGTAGGGCCCTCAGGGAGCAAACAGGTGTGAAGCCTGAGGGCACACTTGGGCCTGCCCTCCATAACCCTGATTAGTCTGGGCCCCAATTTCCTCTCCAGAGAAGCAGAAGGGTCAGCGGAAGAGGCAAAGGCTCTAAGCAGAGGTGAGGCCGCTACGAGGGCTCTCCTGCTTATGGATGGGGAAAACGGAGTTCCCCCAGAAGGGCCAGAGGAGGCTAAAGACAGAGCCGAGCTGAAAACAAGTCTCAGGCTGAGACTGGGCCGGGCTGCAGACAGACAAGAGGGCTGCAGGGCCCAGTGCTGGAGGGGGCGGGGCCCGCTACAGTGGCCTTCCTCCCAGGGGTCAGAGGGCTTTGGAAGGTGTGACTGGGATGGGAGGAGAAGGGGCCTCAGGGCCCAGCTGAGTGCCCGCTGACCCCCCCCGCCCCCGCAGCAATACTTCATCCTCCTCATCATCACGGACGGCGTCATCAGTGACATGGAGGAGACGCGGCACGCGGTGGTGCAGGCCTCCAAGCTGCCCATGTCCATCATCATCGTGGGCGTGGGCAACGCCGACTTCGCTGCCATGGAGTTCCTGGACGGGGACAGCCGCAGGCTGCGCTCCCACACGGGGGAGGAGGCCGCCCGCGACATCGTGCAGTTCGTGCCCTTCCGCGAGTTCCGCAACGTGAGTGGGGCCGGCCGGGAGGGGGCGCCACTGGGCTCCCAGAGCCGTAAAACCCAGGAGGAAGGGCTTGGGACTGTCTGCCCAGCCCCAGCTCCTCCCTCCTCAGCTCCACTGACTGCGCACTTCCTGCCGGCCTACTAAGTGCCAGGTGCCATGCCAGGCCCTGTGCTGGACAAGACTCCAGGCAGGGCTTCCTGGAGGACCCGCCCTCTCACTCTGACCAGAAGTCAGTTACCCACGAGGCAGGTTTCAGGAGACAGAGAGAGAGAGCAAAGGCCTAGAGGGGAGAGGCTTTCCTCATACCCCTGGCCCGGCCTCACGTCCCAGATGGGAACCAGGCTCCTCTCCCTGAGGGCCTCTGCCCGGACCACTGGCTCCTGGAGGGGCTGTGCCAAGTGCAGTGACCCCAGGTCGGCCCACGGGAGGCGGTGGCTGGCTTCCGGGTTACCCCTGGTGGCTGGGCCCGTGAGGAGCCTCTCAGATGCCACCCCTGTACTGCCAGCCTGGAGCCCTCTATTTGGCCAGAGGCACATCGTGTGGCCTTGGGCAAGTCCTTGACCTGTTTGAGCCTCAGTTCTCTCAGCTATAAGGACCCCTCCCTCCCCGCTGCTCCCCCAGGGGCTCTGGCTCAACAAGAACTCTTGCCCTAGCCAGTTTGGCTCAGTGGATAGAGTGTCGGCCCTCAAACTGAAGGGTCACAGGTTCAATTCCATTCAAGGGCACATATCCCGCCCCTCTCCACACCCCTCGCCCCCGAGCTCGTGCAGAAGGCAACCAATCAATGTGTCACACTCACATTGATGTTCTCCCCCCCCCCCCCTTCTACTCTAAATATTAACAGAAGAATATCCTCAGGTGAGCATTAACAAAAAACTGACCACTGTTTTGTACCCGGTGATCTCACATCTCTGCCCAGTATCCTCTGGGTTTGCTGAGACGGTTCAGTTCCTTCTCTGGAGCTTTAGTTATCTGAGGGCAAATGCCAGGCACCGGCCACCATTCATGCCTGCCCACAGTGCCCGAGCACCCTGGTGCCTGGCTGGGTGTTCAGCAGTGAACCAGTCACGGCCCACGTACACCAGCCAAGGTGCTCCGGATGTGCTTGCCACATGAGTAGGCTGTGCAGGAGCTTCCCTCCCACGGGCTATGAACCAAAAAAGCCCCCCACAGACAAATTCCTTCTAACATGTTACTCCCAGGCTCCCCAGGTGCTCAAGGTAAGAGTTACACTTAGTCTGGCCAATGTGGCTCAGTGGTTGAGCATCAACCTATGAACCAAGAGGTCACGGTTCAATTGCCCATCAGGGCACATGACCAGGTTGTCGGCTTGATCCCCAGTGGGGGTCTTGCAGGAGGCAGCTGATCAAGGATTCTCTCTCATCATAGATGTTTCTCTCTCCCCCTTCCTAAGATCAACAAAAATATATTTTAAAAAAAGCTACACATAACTCGAAGGCACTGCTAACGGTGGGCCTTCAGGCAGGGACAGGGAGGAGGGACACCAGGATAGCCGATCTGTCCAGGGACACCTTCGGGAGCAGCTGGGAAGAGTGCCCCTCACAACTTCCGCTCAGTAACCCTCCTTCTCTCCTCTCTACCCCCCCCCTCCACCCTGCAGGCAGCGAAGGAAACCTTGGCCAAAGCTGTGCTGGCGGAGCTGCCCCAACAAGTTGTGCAGTATTTCAAGCATAAAAACCTGCCCCCCACCAGCTCGGAGCCCGCCTGAGCCAGCCCCAGCAGCAGCATGCGCTGGCCGCCCGCCCGCCCGCCCCGGGAACATGCACGCTCGCCCTGCCTCCTGATGGGGGGCTTTTTTTCCTTTTTTTAACCGATCCACATTTCTCTTTTACAATCGGACCTCCACCCCGTGCCCCTCAGCCCAGCTGGACTTCCTTGGTTGGAGTCGACTGTGATGCTTCCAGGCCAAACGGGCCACCTCTCCTCCTGTCCCCGCCACCCCTGAGTATTGAATGTACTTTGTATAATTTTTGTGGAATTATTACTGTTATTAAAGAAATAAAATTTTTACAATCATGACTAGCTGCCGACTCGGAGAGGAACGTGTCCCTGGTTCTCAGCCCGCACCTAGTTCCTGCTCCGTGTTGGATGCTGTGACCATATTCTGTTCATTACACTCGGGGCGATAAGGAGGCTCAGACGTCCCTGTGCCAGCTCCTTCCTCAGCCGGGACCTATGGGCTCACCACGCTGGGAGATGAGCCGGAAAAGCCCTCCCTCCCCCAGCAGGCCTGGGAGGGCGGTGCTCCCGCTGTCTGGAGACCTGCGTTCCCCAGGAACAGTAAGCCTCCTGTTAAACCGGGACAGGACCTGGCACTGCGTACATGCTCAATAAACACTGTGGGCGGACAGAATGCTCCACCAGTGACTGGCCTTCCTGGCCCCTGCAGAGCCCACGCCAGTGTTTGGGAATGCTCCCGGAAAACGCTCAAGAGGCCTGTGTGTGACCCAGTGGTCGGCAAACTCATTAGTCAACAGTATAACTGAAATTTCTTTGGAGAGCCAAATTTTTAAAATTTCAACTAGACAGGTAGGTATGTTATTATTAACTTAATTAGGGTGCTCTTAAGCTGGCCCTTGCTGAAAACTCAAGGGGCCAAAGAGCTGCATGTGGCTTGCGAGCCGCACTTTGCTGACCACTGGTGTAACCAACAACTGACATTTACATCAAACACCACTTATACTGAAGTTCTCCCATGCTGGCCCAGCCAACACCACATGGTCATCACCCCTTCTTCCTCTGGGTCCGAACTTGGCGCCCCCACTCCCCTTACACACACACAGGATGCAGTCACTGCCACCCATTTGCTGCCCTTTCGGTGTCTCAGACACTGAGTCCGCCCTGTGGGAAAGGCGCTCTGGCCTCAGGATGCCAACAGGGCTGTCCCTAAGGACAGCAGCCACTGGTTTCTCCTGCACCCCCTCTGGGCTCAGACCATAAAACCAGCCAGGAGAACCTTCTCTCAAACCCCCAGCACCCTCAGTCCCTGCCCCTCTCCCACACAACACATCTCTCTCCACCTCCCCTGGGAGCGCCACGCAGAGGCTTGTGTATAACCAATAACTGGCGTTTACATTAAGCGCCGTTCCCTGCTCTGTGTTTTAAGTGCTTCACAGGCATAATCCTGGTGAGCCCTCCCAACAGTCCGTCCAGGGCCACTTCAGGACCATTTCAGAAACACGCACAACAGCAGGCAGCTAGTCGCATCTCTCAGAGGCAGAGCCAGACCTTAGATCCGGGCTGGCAGACTCCAGAGCCCACACTCACCCACTACATGGATATCCTCCCGGCACCCTCAGGGGTCCTCTGCTCCAGCTGGCAGTTTGTGCTTCCTCTCTACTGGACTCAGGAAGCCACTCACCTTGACCTCCTCTCCCAGGGAATTCTTACTAGTGGCTGCTGCACCTGGGTAACTGGTGACCTCAGGAGTCCGTGTCTACCTGGTAGAAGCGAGTGAGAGATGTTTTCATCCTATTTTTTTCTTTTTCATCCTAAGTTTCAATGCGTCTGATTCTGTAGCCACCAAGAGTCGGTGATGTATCCTTTAGGGCAGTGTTTCCCAAACTTTTGACGTATGTGTACCCCTTCTATAATTTTCGTAACGCTGAGTACCCCTCGTACTCATGAGAATGTAGAATTAGACGCAGCTAAGCACGGTGCAGTGCATATCCCCACCAAACTCTGGTGCAACGTGTACCTCCACCAAACCCTTCCCGTACCCCTGGGGGTACGCGTACCACACTTTGGGAAACACTGCTTTAGGGACACCCTCGCATCTCCTGAGCGGGCTGAGGACTGCCTGGAGCCCCGATCCCCCCAAGGACATTGGGGAATCACACAAAGGTCTCCTTGTTGTTTTTCTGGAGGGGCTTAAGCTGACAGCTGGGCCATATACCCACGGCTAGGACACCCGAGCCAAGGAACCGCGTGTGCCTGAGCAATTAACATTTGGCTGAGAGCGAAGCGCACAGAACCAGCTGCTTGCGGCAGCTCTGACGACCAGATCTGACCCTTCGTCCTATTAAGTGTTCTCGCTACAACTGAGGAATGCCAACAGGAAGCACAGGCCTGCCACAAAGCACCACTGCCAGCTCCGACACCCACGGGGAGGCTGGCCTAACAGTGCTACGGGATGGCTACTATCCGCTGAGCACTGTGCCAGCTACCACGCCGAGTAGCTACCTAGGTTACCTCACCCTGCTAGGAAGTTGGTGTCGCCGTTCTCATTCACTGAGGAGGAAACTGAGGCCCAGAGGTTAAGGGCCTTGCTCAAATGACCCAGCCAGTGAATGCCTGGTCCAAGCTCACAGCCACTGTGCACCTCTACCGAAGGCGGAACAAGGCCCCGTTCCCAGGAAGAAGCAGGGCAAACGTCTTAGGCAAAGGAAGCGTCTCTCTTGGGTGGAAAGAGGCAGCCAGAAGGGACGAACCTGAGGTGGAGAGTGAAAGAAACGCAGGGATGAGCTGAGACACCTCTCGTTAGGACCTGATTTGCAGTCCAGGATGCTCCTGACAAAAGCTGGCACCCTCCCCACCCCCTGAATGCGAAAAGCCAGCTGTCCTTCCTCCCGAAAAAGACATAAACAGGTCACCGCCACCTCATTAGGTCCAGTCCCATCAGCCTCCCTGTTCTTCACAGAGGCAGTGGCGGCTTTCAATTTCATGCTTCCCTCCTCCCCGCTGCCTCCTGCACCCCCACGGTGAAGACTGAGTCTGCAACCCAGGCATGTACCCCAACCAGGAACCAAACCATCATCTCCTGGTTCATAGGTTGACGCTCAGCCAGTGAGCCATGCTGCTCGGGCTCAATAAAAACATTAAAAAATAATAATTACTATTACTGCCATTCAGCACAACATAAGCAAATTTAAAGAAACCCACCCTGAACTTCGTTTCAATCCCTCATGACCTAGTTATAAAACCCGTTATTAAGACAGGAGCAGTGCTTCCTCCCAGCCGTTTTCCTGTTCTTTGGGTTTGAACCACGTGGTCTACACTGGATGCTTTACCAGCCGCTTCCTCTGCTGGACGGACCAGTCCTGCTTTGCTATTCAGATTCCCACAGAGCCTGTGTTTCAGCCCCACCGCTCCACACTACCCGCTTCAACTCAACACGACGCAATGATCACCAGGAATTCTCAGTCTCGCCTGAGTCACACACACGAGCAGAACTCTCAGTCTGAAGAGCCTCAGCCTTCGCCACAATCTAGCAGCTCTGGTAGATGGGAGGGGGTTGGGAGCACAGATTCAGTGCAGCAAAAGCAAGAGCTTGTTATGAGCCTTCAAATTAAGTATGTCTTCAATTCCCGCAATGCTTTGTTCACTTCTTCCAACGTAACAGAGGCCACGAGGTAGTGGAATGGCCTCTGACTTAAGTCTCACCACACAAAGAGGGCGCCTCTGATGCCTCCGTCTGCCTCCTGGAACGAGCCGAGGTGGCTCGGGGGGACGTTCTGTAATCATGACAGCACGGGTCGCAGGAACAATGAAGCAGAGAAGCAGGTGCCTACACGGTTTTACCGACATGCCTTATTAGAATGGAACCGACGTGCCTGTCCTGCCAGTCAGGAACAATTAGCACAGAGCGGTTCCGAAGAGGAGGAAGAACCCCCGGCATCAGTCCTGGGTGAAGAGAAGTCACCATCTGCCAATGGGCACTGGAATGCCGCTGCATGGGAAGGGGGAAAGGAGGGGGTTGGATGGGATCCAGGGGCCTCTCTGCCCACGTTAGCACTGAGCAGCTTCTCTGCCTGCCAGCCTCACAGTGTCACACATCCTGTGTCTCTCTCTGTCTCACACCGGAGGAGGGAGAAACAATTGGCGTAGGAAGCCAGGGGGGAGGGAAACCCGCACAGGCCCATTTTCCTGGCTTTTGTTTTGTTAATCCTCACCTGAGGATATTTTTCCACGGACTTTTTAGAGTGGAAGGGAGGGGGAGAGAGACACATCAACCAGGTGCCTCCCCCACACACCCTGACCAGGGTTGGGGATTGGGCCTGCAACCCAGTTATGTGCCCTTAACTAGAATCGAACCCAGGACCCTTCAGTCCGTGGGCCGACACTCTATCCATTGAGCCAAACCAGTAGGTTGTGTTTTTTTTAAACTCATGGCTACCTCTGTCCTTGAAGCCTCCATACCAGTCTCCCTCTGTCCTTTCCTCCATCCCGAAGGGAGAGCCCCGGCCTCCTCCTCTGAGACACAGAGATGAGCAATACCTCCAGGTCTTGGCGGCTCACCGCCTAGGAGCTGCTCTGCGTGGGAAGGGAAAGGAGCAGGAGGGGCAGCAGAGAAACGGAGGAGGATCAGGGCAGCACCTCTAAGCCAGACATAGCTCCCAGAGTTAGAAGCCACAACCATAAAGTTATCAACCAAAGAGGAACCTGGACAGAAACAGCATAGCCAGAATTTGCGGGCGAGTCCATAGGAACCCAGGAGCTGCCAAAACTAAGTCATCTTGTCCACAGACCCATCAGCACTGTGATTTCTGGTTCTGATTAAATAAGGCCTATGTCTGTTCCTAAGGGTTAGTCTTATTTTTTCCTTTTTAAATATATTTTTATTGATTTCAAAGAAGACTGGAGAGGGAGGAGATAAAAACATCACTGACGAGAAAGAACCATTATCGGCTGCCACCTGTATGCCCCTGTGACCCCCTGGTTCATAGGTCTACGCTCACCACTTAGCCAACCAGGCTGAGGCTTAGTTTT